GGCCCTTGGTTATTGAGTGCAACACTCTACCATTGCACCACGGGCTCGTTCTTTTTGCCGGTTACGGCGCCGACCGATTTGGTTAGAAAAATGTTCGTCTTATCTTTTTCTTGAATATAACTTGCCCGAACGCAGCCAAAAAGCGCCTTGGCTTGCAAATACGTAGAATAAAAAGGTAATAAATTACTTGCCTGTGAAACCTTTATACAGGGATTTGCCATCTTCGGTGCAGGGAGCAGTCAGAACTGAACGGCGTGCCTTTGAAGCATCTACGTATTTTGTTAGCAGTTCGGCAATCTTTAAGAGGTTTTCAAGCACGCCGCTGTACCTCTGCCGCATGAAAGAAGGCGTCGAAAATTTCAGTGAAGGGCGATGGAGGAGGGACCAGTAAAACCAGGCAGAAAAGTTGAGCAGACGGAAAGATCCCGAGGAATCTGCAAGACTAAAAAACAGAAGGAACAATCTCACAGTGGAGTGCAACGCTATCCTCTATCCACCGTCGCCATCATCCTCGAATAAATTTCTTTCGCTGGCCTGTCTTCTCATTCAAACGATAAATAAAAGTCCGAGGGACATTTCCCTCTATCATTCAAACGTAGCAATGCTGATTTAACAGTCGTTGATGAACGTTTATCTGGTGCTAACGGGACTCACTTCTCCCGCTCTGCTTTAAGTCTCATTCCTCGGGCTCTGACAGCAGCCGTATTGGCTATTATTCTTGGGTAGGTAATAGTGCCGGAAAGAAAACGAGCTCATGAATAAATGGTTAGAGCGTTAGACTCTGGTCAAAAAGGTCACGCGTTCAAGCTTGTGAACGGTGAACCACTTGGGGTTGAGTATAATGTTGATTTAGGCAAATTTCGTTGAATTATCTTTGAAATCTACCACTGTGCAATGTATCTATGATCCATTCATGTTTTGGTATGATTCAAATGAAAGCATTAGAGAAACAGAAATTAATTATAGGTTTTGTGTTTCACATACCTTGAAGTCAGGAGATAAATGCTAAGGATACATAATAAAGGCCCACCATTTTATTACTGCAAGACAGCTACGCATGTAATGCCCAAGTTTGCGTCTACGTGGTGAGTACAATTTGGGTTGGGGTTCATGTTTGGGATTGGGTTATAGGACTAATGTAAGGTTTGGGATATCGTTTAAAAGGACTATGGTCAAAGGTAGAGAATGGAGTTCAGGGTAAGGGTTTAGAGTCGGGGTTTGAATTGTGGCCTAAGGTTTGGATTATGGCCTTAGGGTAGAGTTGGGGCTAAGGATATGCATTCTGGACTGAGGTTACGGTTTAAGCGTAGGATAACGGCTTCTACATTCTATGTAGTGTCGACCATCACTAGTATTTTCATGTTCTGCATGCAATATTGTTATTTTGGTACGCACTTTTGAACCATAATAATTACATTAGCTGAAACTACAGACAAGCGCAGTGTCCGTTATAAGCCAAAGCACTGTCATTCAACCGCATTTAGCTTAATCTTATGATGTGAGTCGTGGTAATGGGCGTGTACCCCATGCGCTTTTCGAGAAGAGGTTGCTGAATGTTGGGTGCTAAGAGCAGTCGAGGCAAACTTGAGTGGTCAGCAGCTCAACTGTGTCTTAATGCATGCCTTTTTAGACTGAGTATAGGCCTATTTCTACGATCTAGAACATTAAAAATAATCGCTGTATGTTAAAATCGCATTTGTCGTCAAACTGCCAGCTTAACATTTTAATTCATTTGTGAACCTTAGTTTCTCATAGATTCAAGGCCGAAATATTCGCAATCGCGCGAGCCGCGAGCTGCTCAAATCTTGGGTTTCAGGCCAGCAGTCAATCAACAAGCGCAATGACATACTGTTCCCATATTTGGTACTGAATAGTAGACTCAAGCATGTGGGAAGGGCCAGACCCAGCAACATCTTCGATGACAGCAAACATAGTTGACGTGTAATTGAGAAGAAGAAGAAGACTCATCGCTGACAATATATTGTCCCAGCGATCGAGTCTTCTTCTTCTCAATTGCTTCCTGGGACACGCATGTTCGCTTGTATTGGTGACGTGTAATTATTAGGCCCACATCCAACACGGCTGACGAACTCGCGCCAATTAATGACTCGGAGGCGTACTGTCAAGCCAGTGATATATACCGCGAACAGAAATTAATTTCTCAGAAGATCAAAAAGCTGAACTTTCAAAACCGGTATATCAACCAGAAAGTAGATAGGGAAAGCTGGGGGACACACCAAAACCGGTATATCAACCAGAAAGCAGATAGGGAAAGCTGGGATGACCCACTTATGAGCCGGAGCCCTCGCAGCTGTGTCAAGCAGCGGCAGAATACTGGCGAAAATCGTGTCTGGGCCTTTTAGCAAGTACCTAGGCTGTTAGTATGGTAAGTTACAATGTCAAGCCACCGTCGCACTAATTACTGCCCCCGGCGGTGATTACAGTAGGTGCTAATTATAATGCGCGTGTTGTCGCGTGGCCACTACGAACTATAAATACTGAATGATATGTGCATGTATTACCCGATTCTGCGGTAACCCCTGATGAAGGTTTCATGAAAGAATCTGAAACGTCAGACGAATAAACGTTTTTATTGGAACGATCACACCTTCTACTTCAGGTAGTCAATTATCAAGATTCAATGTAAACTAACAGGTAGAAGGAGGCGCTTGTGCAGCCGCTCCGCATTTTCGAGCTTATGCACTTTTTGCTTAACCGGTAACTAGCCAATCGATAATTGAGATGGAAAATATCAAAGGTGCCGTCAGGTACTTTGAAGATTGGGATAACTGGTGGCTCCAAATACCTTTGGGGCTCTAATCCTACAAATTTGTTGCGTCAAAAGTCGTTTAGATTCATATAGAAAAGGCAACAAGGAAATCCTTTCATATTCTCCCGAAAGTAAAGGATGCGGTATGAGTTAGTGTTTTCCTACTTCTAGTCACTTTTCTTTAAGCTAACGATCTTTCGGTGACATCTTGGACCAGGGGCCGACAAACCTATCTGAGTTGTTACCAGACCCTGGACATAAACGTGCAAATCAGTTACATATATCTTATTTGAGAATGTAAATCTTCATTATTTTCCGTAAAATGAATCTTTATTACCTCACTGGTTGTATCTAGGTAGGATTTCGTGCAGCTCGGCCTAAGCTTACCTTAAGTAAATTATTGTCAAATTAAAGACTTCAGAGAAGGGTGCAAATTATTGGACCGCCTCAAAATGGTTTGCTTCTTTGGCCGTTTCTCTATTGTCTCTCTAAACAATCTGATCGCCCCAGTTGAGAGCATGTGTACATATATATGCAGTGTATGGTTTAAACTCTCTTAGGGATAAAAGTCTTGGCAGTTAAACACAAAATACCTACAGAGTAAGAGGTATTTTAGTATTTCTACTGAAAATACACTACGTCAGACGAATTAGACACATAAGATAAGCAATGCTTCCTCCTTGAACGCGAAGAGTATTGCCCATCGGCCTATTATTCCAAATTATATGCAGCTTTAGTAATTCACTGGTTTGCTGTCGATTAGTGCTTACCAAATAGCCCTGAATAATCTCTTCTCGGCGATCTTCGCACTAGATTCTGCCATTGTTCCTGTGGGGCTCGCTGAATTTACTGCCTCGGCATTCTGGGCTTGCAACACTGTCGC